AAGTTGAGCTCAAAACAAAAACACAGAATTCCATTTAAAAATTCCGTCAAAGACGGCTAGTTAAAAACGCAAAATTCGTCTGGGGAACAAAATCACCTTTATCATAAACATTCCGTCACCTTTTTTGAGGCCTGATTAAATTTGAATGCTTTTACTTTCATTTCACATCGTCTTCTTACGCTTCATCTCCGAGAGTGACTGAATAAATCAGTGTTCTTCTGACTCTTTTTATAAGCTAGGGAAGTTTCATGTAGCATCATTTTAATTTTCCGCAAACAATTTTAATCTCAATCAAGTTAAAACAGAGTCAATCAGATTTTGTATGCTAAAATCAAACGACAATTTGGAATGCTAGAAAATGTAAGCCTCAGTTTTTGAAGCGAATTTTGAAAAGGCCTACAAAAATAGCCAGTGGTTTCACTGAAAAAAGCAGTGGGATGTACACTGCAATTTATGGCGCGAACTACTTTTAATTTTTCACAACTAATTTCCTTCATGTTAAATGCATATTTTTTTCAAGAGTAAATCGATCATCTGTCAAGTTATACAAAACGTCAAATAATTATAAGGGCGGTTGTAAAATGGAACCAAACAGTACTTGTGGGACAATTTTTTGCAAAAATTTATATGATGAGAAACTTTAAATGGTTCAAGAATTACACAACGTTTTACAAGAATTTAATACATTTTGATTAAGAAAACTTGTCAGAGAACAATACATTTGTCAAGAGTTGAGCACAGGATGAGTATATTTTCCATGAAATTTGAATTGTTAAAAAATAATCCAATAGATAAAATGTTTGTTAAAAATAAAACAAGACTGCTCGTATTAGGGCGAAGCCTTGAATGTTGCGACTGGCTTTTAAGGAGTATGGAGCAGTAAAAGCAGTGAAAAAAATAAATGTAATTTAAAAAAAAAAGATAAATTTTTTAAAAGAAATTTGAGGTTTTTTTGTATATTGTCACTTTTTTCATGTCACTTTTTCATGTCACAACCATTTCATGTCACTTTTTTTCTGCTTAATGTTTCAAATACTCTTTAACTGTTAGAGTGAAAACGCTAATAAACAACTTAAGCGAACTGAACTGCCTAAATTATTAATTTTCGATTTTATAAAATTTAAAGTTTTTCAAAGGAAGCCAGTGCAATTCAATGAGGGCCAAAAGTAAAAAAAAAACAGCGTCACTGGGCCAAATAGGCCAGTGATTTAAAAAACTGAAGATTTGTGCCTCATAAAGCCGCGCAAAACAATTTTTGTTTGTTGTTTTATATCAGTAGAAATTTTTGTTTGACTGAGCTGAATGGTTGATTTGATGTCAAACAAACGAACTAAATAAAAAAAATTCATATCGCAAAAATAAATATTATTGAATGATAAACTTTTAATGGCATCCATATCCAGGATATTTTTGGCTACTTTGCTGTGATCACTCATACATGACCGAACAAACCATGACTTTGGGCACCAGCGCTGAGACGGCGAGAGTAGATTTTCCCGACCGTTATGCGGTATGTCTAGATTATTCACTTTTTAAAGTTTTTGGCTACTTAAAAGATCAGTTTTTGGTACCAGTTTTGGTATTTCGATGGGGTCTGCGTAACTTTCACGACCAGCAAAACCATATTTTGACAAACTTTGGAACATCTTTTTATAAGATACGATAGTCTTTGTTTGCTAAAAAAAACTTTGTTTTTTGGTCAGCTAACTTATTTGAATTTCCTCATCATAAAAATGCTTTTTAATCTAAAGTCATTTTCGATGAGTTTTTTATTGCTTCAGTGGTATTAGTTTTGAACAATTTAAATTTTTTGTTTATTGTTTCTTGAGTTCTTATTTGAAATTAAGAGAAGATGTTTAAGTCTAGATTTTATTTCAGACATTTGCGATACTGTATGAGGATTCTGCATTTTCATTTTTAGACTATATCGACCTTATTCTCAGATCTTCGAGATTTTCCAGACTAGACTGTATGTCTAGAATGTCCAGAATGTTCACAGCCACTTTTCAGAATGTCTAGTTTTTCTGAAACTTAAAATAAATCTGCGACTTGACTTCTGATCTACTGACTAAAATTATTAGAAATGATGGAGAAATCGAAAGTTTGAAATCAAAAACAGTTTTACAAAATGCTACTAGAAACTTTCAAAATAATGTGACTGACTGCTAATTGATTTTAAGAAATTGATGATTTAATGCAGGGGCAGATCTAGGATTTTCTCGAGGGGGCGTTTTTTCAAAAAACTTTCGAAAAAAAATTTTGTCTACCTTTTTTGTGTAACGACAAAGATCCAATACTTTTTTATACCCGCTCAAAAATATGTAGCCTTTGCGGAGAAAAAACTCAAGAATATTTGAATTTTGTCGTAAAACGCTTTTTGAAGTGTTCACGCGGACGAGAAGCCGACTCCTGCGGATGATTTCCTGCAGCAGCAACAGCAACAACAGCAACAGCATATGAGCACAATCGTGAGTAGAAATGTGGCTAGGATGAAACCCAAGATGACTGGTCCCCCAAAAGAGTAAGAGAGAGCCTCCAGGTTGGCGAAAAAATAGTCGTTGAACTCACAGCAGGAACTGATGATAGGACAACAGTAGTCACGTGAATGTAGCTCAAGTTAAGTATAAACAAAAAAAGAACCAGTGAAAGGGAACACATTTTAAAAACTGAGCCCATTTAGCTCCTCTTTTCTGTAAAATTTGGGCTCGTTCAGCCTCTTCAAACAAAACTTTGAGGTATAAATAATAAAAAAAAGTTTGGAAAAAATTGAGATTACTAAAAATAGACTCATTTAGCCCGTTTTCATATATTGGTGCCGAAGGTGCTTTTAGAAAATTGTAGGGTCAGGTCAGTCAGCCAAAAATGAATTTCTTAAAAAGTACCAAAGGGGGACCCTTTGGGTCTGCAGGGGTTCCAATCCCTGAGGGTGGGGGGGGGGGGGGGGAGGTTGCGTTTGCCTCCCCCGCCACCCCCCCCCCCCTGAATCCGCCCCTGATTTTATGACCTTCTTGCTAGTTTTATACTCGCTCGAAATCAGCGCAAAGCTGAAACCGAACTGGTTTTTTTTCGACATTCGGCCAGATTTTTAAATTTTTAAAATTTCGTTCGGATCAAAACTGAAAGTAATTTAACGTAATGCATCTTTTGACCTCATCCCCTAATTATTTGTGGTACCTGATTTGTGGTACCATTCTCATAATTATTTGTGATACCTGATACCCGAAGGAAAAGTTCGATCACATTTTCAATGGCAGAGGAGTTCGACCCCTTCGTACTATTTTGAGATATCTGTTTTTGGCTGACTGACCTAAAAACTTTTCTAAGGGCGCCTTTGGCGCCAATCTATTCTAACTTTGAGGGGGAGCGCGCCGAAAAAACGCGTTATTTTGGTCGAAGTTTTCCAAAAAGTGCTTGTAAACGCCTCTTTTTTTTTTTTAGCCTTTATCTAAAAAATTTTGCCTGCGGCGCAGAAATATTCTTCAAATTTTATTCTTTATAGTGGTTTGTGAGAGCCCCAGAAAATCAATTTGGTCGACCTAAAAAACGGTCGACAAAATTTTCAATTTTTTTTGAAAATCCGCCCCGTGGAGAAAATCCTAGATCCGCGCCTGGTTGGAACAAAACCTTAGTTTTTTTTGTTCAATGACCCAAACTCTTGAAATTATCATGGCACAAAAATTTTAATATAAGATAAAAAATGTAATAATTTACTTTGTTTTTAAAATTTATCACGAGCAAAATTTTACAATTTGTTTTCATGTTCCAAGACTTTAAATTTTGGGCCGTGTGAACTTAAATAACCCAAAAACAACTTATTGGCTAAATGGATTTTTAATAAGATGATTTTATTTATTTTTGTCAAAAATTGTACTAAAATAACAACAATATTTTTCAGCTTTTGTTTCTCTGTGTTTTGAGTGAAAGTGTACTTGAAATCACTATACATTCAAATAAAAAAAACACTTTTGATGAAAAATGAATATCAGCAAATCCGATAGTGTGTTGTAAAATTTTTATGTGCTTATGACAACAAAAAAACTGCTCGTGTATCAGCTCGGAATATTCTGCCTGCTCTTCTTTTTTCTCCGACAGTTTTGCTAAAACTTTATTTTTAGATATAATTTTTAGACTGTCAATTTTTAAAAAAAGTGTATAAAAATGTGAACGCATTCCCATTCAATGCAAAGCCCTGAACGTTCTGACTCTCTCCGAGAACTTCGATAAAAAAAATTTTCGAATAAATTTCTCAAGGAAAATTTTTTGAAGTTTTTGGTTTTTAGTTTCATCCGAAATGGTAGGAAAAAAGAAAAAAGGAAAAAATTAGCATCTGATTTTTTATAAAAATGACAAAATTAGTATCCTTATTTATTTTGGAGCAATTTAATCCGCCGTTTACGCATGTTAAAAAATAGAAATACCTTTCAAACCCATATAACTTCACTAATAATCAATTTTCAAAAATATTTAATTTTCAACCCCTATAACTTCACAAAAATTAATCACAGGTGAAATATCTTCTTAATTTGAGCTCAAGACAAAAACATTTGTCAGATGACACAATAATTGATAAAAATCACTGAATAAAACAAACCACCCCATGTAAAAAATGTTCCGTCAAAAAAGTCGAATAAAACTTTTGCTTTTTAAAATTAAAATTTGCAAATAATTGTACTTTGAAAAAAATGTACCAGCAAAATAATTGAAAAAAGGGCACAAGACCTGTAAATGCAGAAAAAAGTGGCGAGCGCAAAATCTCAACTATTTTACAGCAAGTTTCGAGCTAAAGTTTGAACACTAAGCAAACCCTTTTTTAAAACCAAATCTATATTTGAAACTTTCTAAAAACTAAGTTTTACAAAAGACAGATATTTAAACTGTTAAAAATATGCACGCTTTTTAGAAGCTTCAAGCTACGTGCTTTTTTAAATGCATGTGTTTATTTATTAGACGTTAACTTCACTTGGTTTTTTTATTATATACTTTTTGTGCTGATCAACGTTGTTCAAATAGCGTAAACTAATAAAATCTTGAAAACCGTTGGTAAAAAGTTTGGTTAGATTTATTCAAAAAGTACCAGCCAAACTGCTCAATATTTGAATAATGGGCACCAGAAATGAAAATGAATCCTTTTTGCTCGAGGAACGATGGGAAAACTCGTTGAAAAGAATTCCATATATAAAACTTTTGTTGATTCAATGGATAACAAGTATTGGAAACTTGTGGACGCAAACAAACGTAGGAAACCAAAATCCAAGCTTAGGAAAAATAAACAAAGCTTTTTCTTCTTCTATAACAATTGTTATAAGGCTTTAAAATATTTACTGAAGGAGAAATTGAAGGATTATGAGTTCACTTTGGTTCTGAACTTATGCGGTGCACCGGGTGGTTTCTGTAAAGTCTTAATGGAACGCAAGGAAACAGTTCACGTTTTCACATTGCCAGAGGCGAACGGTGGCTGGCCAATGCGGATTGAAGACAGTCCAAAACAGGCATGGACCAAAATTTCAGTGAACATGCATGGACCAGACTATGGTGACATTGTTAAATTGGCGTCTCTTGCTAAAGGTTAGATTTATATCAAAATTTAGTACCAAAATGTTTTTTTAACCAAAACGGGTTCTGGATTACTTGAAGATGCTAGTAATTTCTTCGAAAAATTGAATTTAAATTAACGATAATTGCGTTTCTGAAAGCGTTCATATTTTTTAACAAATTTATCGAACATAATGTTAGTTTTCTGAATAAAATTTTTGACCCTCAGATACTGAGAGGGCGTTTAAATAGCAATCAAATGGTCAAAACTGTATTATGCTGTGAAAATATCAATGCATGAGGATTGCCCTTTTCGCTAACGTCCCCTCGCCCCCACTTTAAGGCATCTACTGAAAAAACTTTTCATTCAATAAAGATCTACCAAGCAATTTTTCAAAGAAAAAGCAGATAAAGCTCCAGCAAAAAGGCCAACGCGAAACTTTAAATTCTGACAAATTTTCTAAAAACTACGGTGCTAATTAAAATCATCCGGACAAAATGCACAAAGTTAGAAAGTTCAAACTCAATTTTCTCGAATTGGGGTAGGTCAAAACAGAAAGAAGAGAACAAACTTTCCTTGAAACTTTAACCAAATCAATATGATGCATTTTTTTTGCAAATTTCGTCCCCAAAAGTCTCCAAAATTTGCGCTAATTGTATTTAAACAAAGATTTTTTTGGTTTTCTGTTGTAAACCTTACATTTTCACATTTTTCGAGTATCAAGCAAAATTATTTTCTCTTATACCTGTTTTTGTATTTTTATCTATAACTTTGTTGGTCTTTGTAACAGGCTCTTTCTGATAAAAATTTCTACTTGATACTTTCTACGTAACTCTTGATTAACTACAAAACACCAAATTGATCCATTTTTGGGGTAAACTTATGGTTTCGAAATTCACAAAAAAATGCACCATGTTCATTGTGGTAAAATTCGAAGAATTTGCTTAACTGGCAAAAAAATTCGTCAAAAATGACTAGTTAAAAAGTCGAAATTTGTCTGAAGAAAAAAAACCCACCCCAAGCACAAATATTCCGTTACTTTTGTATCGAAAGTCGGAACAATAATAACTTTAGCTCGCTCACGTTTTGTAGCTTGTGAAAGATCATAGTTACTCTAACACTCGATTTATCATAAAATTTTACTCTTCATTATTTATGTATTTAACCCTCCGGATAATCGAGTATGCCTTTTGTCCACGCTTGTCAAAGCGTGGACAAATCGCGGGCAAGCGTGTTCAAACGGTATACCCGATTATCCGGAGGGTTAAATACATAAATAATGAAGAGTAATATTTTATGATAAACCGAGTGTTAGAGTAACTATGATTTTTCACAAGCTACAAAAAGTGAGCGAGCTAAAGATATTATTGTTCCGACTTTCGATACAAAATTAACGGAATATTTGTGCTCGGGGTGGGTTTTTTTTTCTTCAGACAAATTTCGACTTTTTAACTAGCCATTTTTGACGGATTTTTTTGCCAGTTAAGAAATACGATCACGTTAAGGACCCCGCATCCAGTTTTAAGCGTCTAAAGTTCATTACAGCTTGATTTTAGTTTTGTCCCTGTAAATTGAGAAAATTCTTCGGTAGTCAAATCATAATCGAGTAAATAGACTCTTTTTCATAGCATTTAAATCTATAAGATTATAGGATATATTGGTGAAATAACATTGAGGAAATTACGAGTTTAAATTTGATTCGAAAAATTTTTTGTAGAAATTATTATAGGTTATTTTTATATTAAGAGATTTGAGTTTAAGTCCGGGTTAACTCAACCATAAAATAATTTCAGACAAGATATACCGTATGTTCGTCAGGCTATATTATTTTTCGCCACATAGAATCGTGCAAATTCTTAGTCTAACGCCAATCTTAATCTCACTCTTTCCTCTCCTAGTCCTAATAGATCTATTGTAAACTGATATTTGTGATATTAGATATCAGGAACTGTTCTGGAGAAGAGCCACTGTTTGTTAAGTTATATTTATTCTATTTTGGCTGAAACTACAAATAGTTTCAGCCTTACAAAATTTTGTAAGTGTTAGTTATGGATCATGATTGGTTAGCTCTAAGTATTTTACAGAGATTTTTTATCAAAAAAATAGTGGTTGAAATAAAAATTAAATAATTCTTTTGAACTGGTTCTACCCACCCGGGCCTTAGAAAATTTTAAGTTTAATGTTTGTTGTTGTGAAGGATGAATGGAGAAGTTTTTTGATTCTTGGAATAGATTCTTTTGAAGCAGTGGTTGCGTGAAGGAGGAGAAGGAACAGTTGCTCGTTTTGTGGACTAGTTGGCTTCGTAGAAAAAGAAGGGGTACAGTTGCTCGTAATTCAGAAGTGTGTTTCGTGTATTCAGATCAAGTTGTCTAATCGAGTCAAGATTTCAGATTTGTACAATGTTTGGTTGGTTTTGTTAAGTAGAGCAAGACTACGTGCATTTTTAACTATTCATCGAATAGCGAGATGGTATACATTCTCTGTGTGAAGTGCTCAGTGAGTATGATTTGTATGTGACTTCAACATCGAGTTGATCAACATTCTTGTTCAATGGGGACCTTTGCTGCGATTATGGTTCCAAACTTTAAATCCTGTGAGAGATGTGAGTACGGCAACAAATCAATAGATTTGTCATTCCAGCGTCGGAATGTAATCGAGTTTTCATCTCCCTCTTCTGCTCATTACTTTTGCTCTGCAATCTTTTTAAATTGTATTTGTATCTCTGCATCTTGTCAGTGAGATCAATTTTCGTTATGGTATTCATTAGTTGCTTTCGCAAAAGCGTTTTATTAGTTTTGGTTATTATACAGAATCGCTCACCCTAGAGCTACTCTCGTCAAAAATAGGAGTGCATATAGTATCAAGCTTGGTTGTAGTACGGGTGGTGAGGCCGGCTATAGAGCATGCTCAGGACGTCTTTTATTGGTGGGTTAGGTCAGTTGCGGAAGAGTAATATTACCTTTTCTTTGAGTAGAGTCTCTTTTTATGTTCAACTTTTTCTTTCGTTTTTATCAGTTGTTTTTCTCTTTGGTTCTTTGGTTGTGTCCTTGTATCAAAATCAGATTGTTAAGTTTTGTGCGATTCTTCTGATATTTTTGTATTCCAAATGGTTTTGATAAATGTTGAAAGCGGGTTTCAAAAAAATACTTTATCGAGTTTTAATCTGGGTTTAATCTGGTTTGGATACCATAAGACTTTCTCATGCATGCGGTTGGTTTTGTGGCCTTAGTGAGCTGCGTTGGTTTGTATAAGCTTATTTATAATTCCTTCCAACCGCGTTCAGCGAAAGTTTTGAAAACGCGTGAAAGCAAGTCAAAAATGTGATCAATTCGTATTTAAAACTAGAAATTCAGTCATTAAACAATTTTACGTCGGGGTGTTACTCGGTTTTAGTGTAGAAAATGCGGAAAATTTGGTCAAATGATATCAGAAAAATCAAACTTTATAAAAAACAGCACCCATGAATAGATTACAAACAATATTTTACTTCGTTAAAAAGTTACTTCTTCATGTTTTGAATTTTCAGTATTTCTTTTAATTCGTTGCTTTAATATTAAAAATATTTTACTGATACAGTTTATGTCACATTATTAGACTTTTAAATTAGAGTTTGATGTTCATTTCTTTTTTCTATTTCAATCTTCTAGAAATCTAAAACAAAAAGGTGAAACACGCGTGTAAAAACGGTGAGTTGTTTTTATTTAATCGGTTTATAAGAATATAAGCTCACACTTACGAGGATTATCGGTCGGGAAAATCCATGGGTAAAGTGGGTTTTAATAGTGTCGGAAGTTATTAAAAGCTTGGCAAGCATGCAAAATACGTTTTTAGTGCAAAGCAGTGGCAACAGAAGTTCAAGCGCTCTGATGATTTCAACTTTTTTGGTTACAGCTGATAATCGTGGTTAGAGTTTTGTATGAGGTTGTAAAATGTATGGTTAAATTTAAGGTTATGAGTTTTTTCTATAGGGCTACTTCGATTTGTTATATGTTTTCAAGCGGGATGGTGATGGGGCGGGAGTGGTAGTTTCAGAGGATGCCGTGTAAGTTAGTGGATTTAATACAGTATGGTAAGTTTAGGAAGCAAGGAGACGTAAATAATGAACATGAAGCGGTGATTTGGGTTGCGAGATGGTGAAAAATGAAGATATGTTCGTTGGATGAATTTGTAATGAGTTTAGTCTGCGTTAGTTTTGTTTTCAACATAAATTCATGTGAAAATTTATTATCTCTCTCTTTCGGTGTTACGAAATTAGATGTGAGTGCGAAGTGATTAAACTTACTGAAAAAAGGTTCGTAAGCTTTAGTGTTTGTTAGTGCGTGGTCGAAATTTCTGTCGAAAGGTAATCGAGGTGAAAAATGTATTCTGGTTTGATAAAAAGTTTTTTTCGGTTAGTTGTGCGGTGGTTTCAGCGTCAGTGTCATATGGTGAATCTTCCATATATCTTACAACAGTATGATCGTTGTAAATAATAGGTTATCTGTTAGCATTTTGTGCAATGAATCTAATTATTGTTTGATTAAGTCCTATATTTAAAAATTGATTAAGGTGAAGCGCGTTAGTTAAATGTTGAATGATGGAGTCACAAAGTTCGTCATCATCGGGATTCTTTCTAAGGGGTTGTTTCAGTGGGTTAGTGAAGTTTTAGTATGAAATCCATAAAAGTTTTGGGAGGAGAGAATGTTCATTTCTATATTGTGCTCGTTGGCCTGCGTTTTCTCCTTTGTAATAGGTGTAATGGGGACAGAAGGGAAGATTATAATTTAAAATTTTGGGTGTATTAGTATGATACTGGTGATGGGATCAAGGTCGAGATGATGATGGGCGGCTAATGAGGAATTGTCGTGTAGCGTTAGGGTGTTTTCGTTTCATGAAAACTCTTTGGGCTCGTGTAGGTGCAATTTGGACAGAAGGGATAGAGGAGTCGGATGTTGAAGCTGAACGGGTTAATTGACGAATAGTTATTGAGTTATTAGTGTTGTCAATAATAATTTTAAAATTCAAGCTTTTCGCCTTTGCGGTTGCTGCTATA